GTAGAAAACTAGGATTTAAATCAAGCCTTACTGACTAGTGATTTAAATCGTGATTTAAATCAGTTTGATTTAAATCAAAAATCCACCCTGATAATAACCAACCATAATTCAATCTGCTGAAGTCAGATCAGTGCAGGATGAATTCTGATGGCTCTAGCTTAATTGATTTAAACAGCCAACTATGTTATACCATGCCATGGATCTGGCCGGAGACTGCTAGGAAGGTCATATGCTCCCTCATACAATACAAATATTTTGTGTCTGCAATGGATGATGGAATGATGGAGGAATGCTGCCAGGGGGGATATACAATGAGGAACAGAAGTATTTGAACACCCTGCAATTTTGCAAGTTCTCCCACTTAGAAATCATGGAGGGGTCTGAAATTCACATTGTAGGTGCATTCCCACTCTGAGAGACAGAATTAAAAAAAAAAATTCAGGAAATCACATTGTATGGTTTTTAAAGAATTTATTTGTCTTGCACTGCTGAACATAAGTATTTGAACACCTAAGAAACAGCAAGAATTCTGGCTCTCAAAGACCTGTTACTGTGCCTTTAAAAAGTCCACCTCTACTCCACTCATTAATCTAACTTAGTAGCACCTGTCTGAGCTCTTTAAAGATACCTGTCCACCCCACAGTCAGTCAGATGCCAGCTACTACCATGGGCAAGACCAAAGAGCTGTCTAAAGACACCAGAGACAAAATTGTGGACCTCCACAAGGCTGGAAAGGGCTACGGAGCAATTGTTAGAAAATGGCAGAGGCTAAAGACGACTGTCAGTCTCCCTTGGACTGGGGCTCCATGCAAGATCTCACCTTGTGGGGTATCACTGATGATAAGAAAGGTGAGGAATCAGCTCAGAACTACAAGGGAGGAGCTGGTCAATGACATGAAGAGAGCTGGGACCACAGTTTCAAAGGTCACTGTCGGTAGAACACTACACCGTCATGGTTTCAAATCATGCATTGCACGAAAGGTTCCCCTGCTCAAGTAATCACATGTACAGGCCCGTCTGAAGTTTGCCAATGACCATCTGGATGATCCAGAGGAGACATGGGAGAAAGTCATGTGGTCAGTAGAACTTTTTGGTCTAAACTTTACTCGTCATGTTTGGAGGAAAAAGGATGAGTTGCATCCCAAGAACACCATCACTACTGTGAAGCATGGGGGTGGTAACATCATGCTTTGGGGGTGCTTTTCTGCTAAAGGGGACAGGATGACTGCACTGTATTAAGGAGAGGATTAATGGGGCCATTTATTGTGAGATTTTGAGCAACAACCTCCATTCCTCAGTCAGAGCATTGAAGATGGGTCGTGGCTGGGTCTTCCAACATGACAACGAACCGAAGCACACAGCCAGGATAACCAAGGAGTGGCTCCATAAGAAGCATATCAAGGTTCTGGAGTGGCCTAGCCAGTCTCCAGACCTAAATCCAATAGAACATCTTTGGAGGGAGCTGAAACTCCGTGTTGCTCAGCGACAGCCCCGAAACCTGACAGATCTAGAGGAGATCTGTGTGGAGGAGTGGGCCAAAATCCCTGTTGCAGTGTGTGCAAACCTGGTCAAGAACTACAGGAAACGTTTGACCTCTGTAATTGCAAACAAAGGCTTCTGTACCAAATATTAACACAGATTTTCTCAGGTGTTCAATTACTTATGTTCAGCAGTGCAAGACAAATAAATTCTTTAATCATACAATGTGATTTCCTGAATTTATTTTATTTTAAATTCTGTCTCTCAGAGTGGGAATGCACCCACAATGTGAATTTCAGACCCCTCCATGATTTCTAAGTGGGAGAACTTGCAAAATCCCAGGGTGTTCAAATACGTCTGTTCCTCACTGTATATAGACTTGCAAACACCTTTACAGATTCCTAAAAGCATCCTACTCCAAATGTGTATACCCACTGCACAGTAGCCCTTAGCCCTGGTATACACCAGTGCGGCTTGTCAAGTGACTTGACAGTTCAAAGTCCCATGACAAGTCTCACCCTAGTTGCCAAAATTGAACTGTTCAAGTCACAGCGAAGTTGCAGGTTCCTGTGCTATTTTTATGTGACTTCACTGTGATTTCCATTGACATGTTAAATGAAGTCACACAGATGTTAGCAAGCCCCATATAAAATCACACTGATAGTCGGCTCTGAAGTAGCATGACTTCAAAGCTGCACAGGTGTGAACCGGGGAACTTGCAAAATCGCAGGGTGTTCAAATACTTCTGTTCCTCACTGTAAGCATGGAACTCAGACCACTGTATAACCAAAAATTACCTTCTCCCCCTTCCCCGCAGTAAACAGATCTCTCTCCGCTTCACAGTACAGAGCTTTCCCATTACAGTACAGAGCCATCCACGCACAGTACAGAGCCCCCCAAACATAGTACAGAACCCCAATACAGTACAGATCCCTCCTCACACAGTACAGAGTCTCCCACAAGTAATAGAGAGCCTTCCCCACACACACACTACAGAGTGCTCCCATCATTCCCCTAACAATTCCAGGGAGAAGTCCTCTGGAGTAATAGTGAGGCTCAATGTAAATGTAAACAGAGAAGCTGGTAGAGGAAGTGAGTAGTGCAGAAGAGCTGATTTACACATGTACGGTGCAGATTGAAGCTCAAGTTTCACAGCCAATTGACACAGTAGTTGTTCACAGGTCCACGTCAGGTTTACATTAGGTTCAGGACAAGATTAGCTCAGGATTTCCTATTTACACATATGCGGTTTAGAAACGGTTCCCATAGAAGTCAATAGCCTGTAATCTGCACCTGAACAGGACACACTGCTCAGAAATCGGACATGACTCTTTAAAACTGCACTGAATCTGCACCGCCAGTGTTCAGGACATATGTAATCAGGCACCATAGGAAGCAATGTTTTTTCACATGTCATGCGGATTGGATGCGGTTCAGACCACATCCAATATGCATATATGTGAACGGGCACTTACTGGCTTCTGTGCTTACAGTAACAGGTCATAAAGGACAGGGCGCAAAAAGCTGAAAAAAAAATAAAACCCTGATGCAAAAAAAATATACCATGCTCCCAAAAATGCACAAGGTGACAGTTTCTCTTTAAAAATCAGCACCTAAGAAATATATTTACGGTATTTGTTGAATAAGTTCAATAGTCATTTATGCTGCATCTAGTACTGATGAAAAGTACCCATGTGCAGTTCATCACATTCATCATGTGATATCAGTTCAGCCTTGATAACCAAAATGTGCAGAGACTTTATTATTATTACAGAGGATTTATATTACGCCAACAGTTTCTGCAGAGCTTTCCGACATACTACAGAACTTACACACTAAAAGAACTGACTACCTTGGAACAAATTAAAATGTAGTTATAATTACTGAAACATAGAAACACTACTGTTCTACTCAATAATTACAAGACAAATGCTAACAGATTAATAAAACCAGCTTCTGAGTCAATAAATGATTAAAATGGACCCTGCCTTGGCACATAGCCAACATGCAGCATGCAGTGAAAGAGCTGCCCATCATCCTTCAACATTTTTAAAATCATCATTGACATCCTATTAGTATGCAGCTGTATCATGGAGGAAAATGCTAAGTAATTCAGATAGAACCTCTGGGATTAAAGGCGACAGCTAACTGTCCCTCAGCTGCACTTTTAAAGTTCATTGTGTCTCAAGTGAGAATTAAAGCCACAGATATCAGTGACTCCTTATCTACCCTCAGCTTTAAGGCTTGGACATTCGGGGGGGCTCTTCAGTAGGAAACCCCATTGCTATTAAAGCGATCGAAGTCTGATTGCAGGCAGCAATGGCTCAGAGGAGAGGCAGCTGCTAATGACTGCAGTTCAGGGATCACATCTAATTTTTGTAACCATCACTTGAATCGCTGCCACTTGGCTGTCATGAAGCCTTATCTCTTGGCAGACAGCTCCTAACACACCTGGTTTCTTGCTGCATTACACTTCAGAGCTACACTTTTAAAAGGCTCTATAATTCACTCTCTGTACCAAACTGTTCAATGCCTACAGGAATGTCAGAGCTTGGGGAATCACAAGCAGAACAGTCTTAATGGAAACAGAAAGGAGATAGCGTTCAGTCTCATAGGGATAACAAATACAGGATTCCATTATACGAACATGAAACAGGAAAAGAAATGGTACAAGAGGTTACTATTTAAATGTAATAACTGAAAATATACATATAATGCATTTTGTATTGAGTGGGGGGGAGGGGTGCGTTCCATTTTCAAGACATCGAGAGACATTTATATACCTGACACAAACTGAACATTGGGTAATTTCAAAGCACTGAATTTTCTCTCTTAAAAGGCATGTTCTATTGCAAAGCAAATGAGTAGAATATTCTGTGGATTTTGGGAAAATGTGCGATGTATGTTGTAGTAAATGAAAAAGTATAAAAGCATGACTCTTTATAATGTATATTTTCCTCAATGTATATATACTGTAAACTTAAAGCTGAACTCTGGCCAAAAACTATATACTTGCACAGTAAAAATATATCACCACCAATGAAGTATGACCCATCCCTGGCTACTGCAGCATTTGTTAATCTCTTATAACCAATTAATTCTCATGAGCAGCCAAAAAAATATTGTAACACACTATATTGACGTATTCAGTGAGTGTAACTAAATACCGTATTTGCCAGGGTATAAGACGACTGGGCGTATAAGACGACCCCCTACTTTTCCTGCTAAAATGTAGTGTTTGGGCTATACTCGCCATATAAGACTACCCCTCTTCCAATGCACACCAGTGGGAGGAATAGTGCCCCATCATCGGTGTCAGTGGGAGGAATAGTGCCCCATCATCGGTGTCAGCGAGAGGAATAGTGCCCCATCATCGGTATTAGTGGCAGGAATAGTGCCCCATCATTGGCATTAGTGGCAGGAATAGTGTCCCATCATTAGTATCAGTGGGGGGAATTGTGCCCCATCATTGGTATCAGTGGGAGGAATAGTGCCCCATTATTGGTATCAGTGGGGGGAATAGGTGCCCCATCATTGGTATCAGTGGCAGGAATAGTGTCCCATCATTGGTATCAGTGGCAGGAATAGTGCCCCATCATTGGTATCAGTGGGAGGCATAGTGCCCCATCATTGGTATCAGTGGCAGGAATAGTGCCCCATCATTGGTATCAGTGGCAGGAATAGTGCCCCATCATTGGTATCAGTGGCAGGAATAGTGCCCCATCATTGGTATCAGTGGGGGGAATAGGTGCCCCATCATTGGTATCAGTGGCAGGAATAGTGCCCCATCATTAGTATCAGTGGGGGGAATAGTGCCCCATCATTGGTGTCAGTGGGGGGTGGAATAGTGCCCCATCATTGGTGTCAGTGGGGGGGGAGAATAGTGCCCCATCGTTGGTGTCAGTGGGGGGGGGGGAATAGTGCCCCATCATTGGTGTCAGTGGGGGGGGGGAATAGTGCCCCATCATTGGTGTCAGTGGGGGGGGGGGAATAGTGCCCCATCGTTGGTGTCAGTGGGGGGGGGAATAGTGCCCCATCGTTGGTGTCAGTGGGGGGGGGAGGAATAGTGCCCCATCTTTGGTGTCAGTGGGAGGAATAGTGCTCCATCATTGGTATCAGTGACACCAATGATGGGGCACTATTCCTCCCACTGACACCAATTACACTTGCTGACCCTGTTCTAGTATGGTGCTGCTGCAGCCAGCATATGTGGTTGCAGCAGTACCTCTACACTGAACACTTACCTGCTGCTCCTGCACTCGATTTTTGCGGGGCCGCTCGGCTCCGCCCCCTCGCCGGTGATTGGCCGCCTGTGTGCCTTTCCTGAGCTACAGTTCTGGCGGCCAATCACTGGTGAGGAGGCGGAGCCGAGCAGCTGCACGAACATCCAGTGGCCGAACTGAAGGAGCAGCCGCGCTTCCTGGACCGGATCGTCGTGGGACCGGATCCAGGTAAGAGACAGCAGCCCCTGCCCACCCCTGTACTTAGTGTCCCTTCAGGAAGGGGGGGGGGGCGGCGGCACCGCGCCGGCCCCCTAAAAAGTGTCAGTATGCCGTATACCGGCGTATAAGACGACCCCCGACTTTTGAGAAGATTTTCAAGGGTAAAAAGTCGTCTTATACGCCGGCAAATACGGTAGATACAAACCAGAAAGCAGCTCACACTTACACATACTCCTAACATGCATATAATAAAAATAAATGAACATACAGTGCCGCGCTTCCTTTAAATGCCCCAAAACCACATGTGAATGCAAACAAATATAATGAGATATAGTGAACAATCCTAACTGAAAAGTTTCTTAATAGTGTTGCTTCTTCAGCTTCAAAAAAACTCCATAACTCTATATATCTTATTAAAACTTAATCCACCACCACAAACACCACATGCGCCCTCATCTGGAGTTTTTGACCTCACAGAAAGTTAGGTAAAAAAACACGTGTCCCTTGAAGTGCACAAATAATGGCGTGTATATAGAATCTTTTTCCAGTAGTGACCGGTCCCTTTAAGCCTTCCTCCTCCACTCAGCATGCATATGTCTGTTGGCAAAAGATGTGTTTGGAGACTTTATCTTCATAAAGTAGATGTTTATCGATCATGGATAATGCATTCAACACCAACAACACATTTCATAATGCCAGGATGGTGACATCTTCAGGAAGGTGCATGAAACTGGTTTACAGATGGCCATGAGGAGAGGAGGAGGCCAACATCTTCAGAAATTGCAGGCCTCCTATGCCATGCTCTACCCTGCCAAGCTCTGCATCGCCATCAAGGGACAGGCACATTTCTTTGAAAATGTGGCCGAGGATTCCACTTGGCTTGACGCAAACGAAAATGCTTTCCGCCAGGCCCGGAGACCAGCTGCAGAGGAGGACTGAGTTTGCCCATTCCCTTGGTTGCACATTCTTCTACTGTGTGCTGACTACAGGCCACCTTCATCTTATTCCTGTTAGTACCAGTGTCTGGGAATAAATAGCTATATTCAATGCAGAGAGCTGTACCCTTATTTTTGCATTGTATGGTTCATTTTTCAATACTCTCTTCAGTACAACGTTATGATATACTGCCATGGTACTTGCGGCTGAGAGAACCCATTGTTCTCTACCTGTTTTTACGGTCCTCGGAAGTATCCTATATCTATGTATGTAGCATCACTGCTACACTACAGATTTCCTGGTTCAGGTTTGACCTATTGCTGTACGATGTCTTCCGATACTACCTGACCGTACATGTTGGAGCGCTGTTGCGCTCATCTACTCAGCCAGTTTGGTCCTAATTTTCCAGAGCTCTACATCCTCTGTCATAATCCGTTCTGGACTCGAAGTAAACCTTCACTGTACATGGATGGCATACTAAAGTCACCTACTCTTCAGCCAGTATACTATCCATTTCTATGATCTCTGATTGGCTGCAGCACTGATGTATTATCCTGTCATATACTTATATCTATTCCTATAATGACTACGGTACCAATACTGTTATGGAACATTAGGGGCTGCATAATCCCCTGAAGTGTAACTACCTCCCTACATAAGGACTTACCTGCCATCTGTGCCTTGCAAGAAACACACCTTACAGCTGACTCTATATCCTGTCTGAACTTTGCATTGGTGGGCAAAGCATACCACTCCACTCGCACCACCTACTCACGGGGTACTTGTACACAACTCCCTAGATTTCCAGGAATTTGACCTGGTCATAGATGATGAGGGTAGATATGTTATATTATTGTGTTGCTTATTTACTTTGAAATGCATCCTGGCGTTTATCTGTATCCCATCACCTTTTAACAGCCTGATCCTGAGTATTGTGCAAGAGTACCAGCTCCACCACCGAGATGTACCCCTATTTATAATGGGGGACTTCAATGGGTATTTTGATCCAGCTTTAGATAAACATCCCCCTGCTACTGTGAGGGATAACTGTCACTGCACTGCCCTATCAAAATTTATTGCAAAAGTGGGCTGGATCGATCCTTGGCGTCACAGACACCCAGGGGAAAGGCACTTGTTTTTCTAGATCCTATTTATACTTGCCTTGTACAGACCTGTGCCTGTGTGCCTTCCCTGCTGAACAATATCTCCATGATATTAGTTATGCCCTTAGGAGGCATATCCAATCACTACCCTCTGATAGTTAAATTGGAGGCCTGGCTTCCCTCTACTTTGCCCAAGACCCCATGGAAGCTCAATGCCTTTTGGCTGCACCTTTTCCCATCCCCTGACCATATAGAATCACAGATATCTGACTTTTGGGCTAAAAATGCAGGTTCCTCTAGTTTTGGCACTACCTGGGAATCTTTTAAGGCCTTCCTTTGAGGGCTCTTCATCTCAGAGATTCAGGCTGTTAAACGGGCTACTAATGAACAGAGGGAAAGAGTAGCACAATTGGTGAGCCGTTAGAAGGCGGACTTTATAACAGATCTCTCTGACAGGAACAGGGAGTCAGAGATGTATGGCTGTATTACCTCTGTCTGTGGAACGGAAATTCTTCTACCGTAGTTTGGGCTTCTATGAGGAGGGGGAGCAGACTGGTCGCTTTTTGGCTAAAATAGCACATTCCCATCAGATATTTCCCTACATTGGCATTTTGCGAACACGTGAGGGGTCTGTTACTAACTCCTCAGATATTGTCTGAACTCATACATTAATACTCTACCCTTGTCATGTTTCACATGACTGTCATATTGACTGTCATATGCCTTTAAGTGTTTCTATATTTTGTTTCTGATCCTCCCTTTCCTTTAATTTAGTTAATGCTGTATAGATAACCCTCCCCTTTTCCCAAAAACGCATTGCAGCTCTAGCCTCATGTCATGGAGCAGGAAACATTATAATCTTTTGATCTATCGAATGTTCATTGTTATAAGATTCTCTCAGTTAATGGAATAAACTTCACAAGATCTATAAGATGTCTTATCGATTGAGTCACTGACTGTGGTATCCAAGTGAGGTTGAAGTTATCGCTATCTCATCACAACTGTAAGTTACAGAGATCACACTATCAATGCTTAGACTGGAGAGACAGAACAGTTAAAAGATCAGTGGAATGCTTCTCAGGATCCTGGCTAGTCATAGGATCAGTGGACTGTCTTCATAAGTATCCTTGCTAGCTAGAATACACAGTGAGATGTTACATGGATACTGGATATAACAGTTGGAGAGTGCATCCACCTCTACACAAGTCTGTACATGCCTCCAAGTATATCCCAGCATAAAACTCATCAGTGTCAGGACAAATTATTGATGTGAATGTTTTACAACTGCAAGTTTATTCACTGCATCTGTATACATTACCACAACTCTTGCCTGTGAACATATAAGAAAGAAAAAGAAATTCTTTCTGCAATCATTGCCTAGGAAACCTGAACTCAGCCACAGAAAAAGTGATACATTTCTCTGTAAACTTTCTATCAACCCCTCTCCTTGCTAACATGATGTTTCAGGAAAGTAATATACAGTCTGGGGAAACTAATACACAACTACAATCAGAGCTACACCCAGAGCAGTACTTAGATAAAAGAGAAAAACGCTTAAGAAATCCAGCCTGGAAAGTGCAAGAAAATATTAATGCTAACAAGTCAGAATTGCTGTCTAATACTAATGACTTATGGTCTAATACTGTTAAATGCATGTCTGCTCTCTCCCAACAATCTCATGAGCCAATATAACTAGAGGGCGCTATCCAGCAATTGAATGTTGCTTATGAGAATTATCAAAGACTGCATGTTAAATATATTGCTCTGTTAAAGCAATACAACACTAAAAGGTACTTGGAAGAATTAAGAGTTTTGAGGAGTGCAATCTTGAAAGAAACAATTTAGTGGTGCGAACAAAGACGAAGGCAGAAGTAAGAATAACACAGCTCCATGAATCCAGATGTGATCACTCTGCATCTACTAGACCAGGGGTCCTCAAACTTTTTAAACAGGGGGCCAGTTCACTATCCCTCAGACCTTTGGAGGGCTGGACTATAGTTTCCAAAAAAAAAAAAAAAAAAACTATGAACAAATGCGGACACAGTACAGGAGATGACCAGAGACTGCGGACACAGTACAGGAGATGACCAGAGACTGCGGACACAGTACAGGAGATGACCAGAGACTGCGGACACAGTACAGGAGATAACCAGAGACTGCGGACATACAACGGCGGAGGGAATACTGGGCCGGCCGCTCCATAAGACACACAGACATTTCCCCCCAAGTGTGTCTTATGGAGCGAAATAGTGCCCCGTCCTTGGTGTCAGTGGGGGGAGGAATGGTGCCCCGTCCTTGGTGTCAGTGGGGGGAGGAATGGTGCCCCGTCCTTGGTGTCAGTGGGGGGAGGAATGGTGCCCCGTCCTTGGTGTCAGTGGGGGGAGGAATGGTGCCCCGTCCTTGGTGTCAGTGGGGGGAGGAATGGTGCCCCGTCCTTGGTGTCAGTGGGGGGAGGAATGGTGCCCCGTCCTTGGTGTCAGTGGGGGGAGGAATGGTGCCCCGTCCTTGGTGTCAGTGGGGGGAGGAATGGTGCCCCGTCCTTGGTGTCAGTGGGGGGAGGAATGGTGCCCCGTCCTTGGTGTCAGTGGGGGGAGGAATGGTGCCCCGTCCTTGGTGTCAGTGGGGGGAGGAATGGTGCCCCGTCCTTGGTGTCAGTGGGGGGAGGAATGGTGCCCCGTCCTTGGTGTCAGTGGGGGGTGGAATGGTGCCCCGTCCTTGGTGTCAGTGGGGGGTGGAATGGTGCCCCGTCCTTGGTGTCAGTGGGGGGTGGAATGGTGCCCGTCCTTGGTGTCAGTGGGGGGTGGAATGGTGCCCCGTCGCTGGGGCCAGTGGGGGGTGGAATGGTGCCCCGTCGCTGGGGCCAGTGGGGGGTGGAATGGTGCCCCGTCGCTGGGGCCAGTGGGGGGTGGAATGGTGCCCCGTCGCTGGGGCCAGTGGGGGGTGGAATGGTGCCCCGTCGCTGGGGCCAGTGGGGGGTGGAATGGTGCCCCGTCGCTGGGGCCAGTGGGGGGTGGAATGGTGCCCCGTCGCTGGGGCCAGTGGGGGGTGGAATGGTGCCCCGTCACTGGGGCCAGTGGGGGGTGGAATGGTGCCCCGTCGCTGGGGCCAGTGGGGGGTGGAATGGTGCCCCGTCGCTGGGGCCAGTGGGGGGTGGAATGGTGCCAGTGGGGGGTGGATTGGTGCCCCGTCGCTGGTGCCAGTGGGGGGTGGATTGGTGCCCCATCGCTGGTGCCAGTGGGGGGTGGATTGGTGCCCCGTCGCTGGTGCCAGTGGGGGGTGGATTGGTGCCCCGTCGCTGGTGCCAGTGGGGGGTGGATTGGTGCCCCGTCGCTTGTTCCAGTGGGGGGTGGATTAGTGCCCCGTCGCTGGTGCCAGTGGGGGGTGGAATAGTGCCCCGTCGCTGGTGCCAGTGGGGGGTGGAATAGTGCCCCGTCGCTGGTGCCAGTGGGGGGTGGAATAGTGCCCCGTCGCTGGTGCCAGTGGGGGGTGGAATAGTGCCCCGTCGCTGGTGCCAGTGGGGGGTGGAATAGTGCCCCGTCGCTGGTGCCAGTGGGGGGTGGAATAGTGCCCCGTCGCTGGTGCCAGTGGGGGGGGTGGAATAGTGCCCCGTCGCTGGTGCCAGTGGGGGGGTGGAATAGTGCCCCATCGTTGGTGCCAGTGGGGGGTGGAATAGTGCCCCGTCGTTGGTGCCAGTGGGAGGAATAATGACCCATCATTAGTACCAATGACACCAATGATGGGGCACTATTCCTCCCACTGACACCAATGATGGGGCACTATTCCTCTCACTGACACCAATGACACCTAACTTGCTGACCCATTCCAGCATGGTGCTGCTGCAGCCAGCATACCTGGTTGCAGCAGCACCATCTGCACGGCACACTTACCCGTCAGCTGTCCTTCACTCCGGCCTCTTCCTCACTCGATGTTCGTTCGCGGGGTCGCTCGGCTCCGCCTCCTCGCAGGTGATTGGCTGCCTGTGTGCCTTTCCTGAGCTACAGTTCTGGCGCCCAATCACCGGTGAGGAGGCGGAGCCAAGCGGCAGCGCGAACATTGAGGGTATGGCCGGAGTGAATGAAGGAGCAGCGCTTCCTGGACTGGATCGTCGTGGGACTGGGACACGGAGCCAGGTAAGAAACAGCAGCCCCCTGCCCATCCCTATACTTCGTGTCCCTTCCTCGCGGCAAATACGCCCCTGCCGGATAAATGTCCTCTGCGGGCCGCATGTGGCCAGCGGGCCATAGTTTGAGGACCCCTGTACTAGACGCTCCTCAAGATCTTCCAAATCCCTACAATCAAGGTCTTCTGCACTCAGTCAACAACTATTAAAAAGCCTGTGCTGATGCTAAAGCTTCAAAAATTCAGGCAGCTTTCGCCCAAAAGAAAGCAGAAATAGAAGCTTAGGTAGCATATAAGAACGCAGAAATGGAGGCTCAGGCCGCACATCAGAACGCAGAAATGGAGGCTCAGGCCGCACATCAGAAAGCAGAAATGGAGGCTCAGGCCGCAGAAATGGAGGTTCAGGCCGCACATCAGAAAGCAGAAATGGAGGCTCAGGCCACAGAAATGGAGGCTCAGGCCGCACATCAGAAAGCAGAAATGGAGGCTCACATGCCAAAAGGCAGAAATTGAAGTTCTGGAAAAACAATGTGAGCATGCCACAGCCATGGCAAGGTTAAGGGTCTTAGAACAAGCCGCTAGTGAAAACAAAAGAGACAGCAGTTCCAGACACTCAGTTGTATCTTATGTCTCAGATTCTTCACACACCTCTCCAGAACGTCAACTCCCTGTCACAGCAGCCAAACTACTGCATCAAAGTCTCTTCTCTGCACCTACTGTACCTCAAGACCATTTGCCTTTATATCCTCCAATACATCAGACTGCAGCATCTCAGCTAGCCGCAGACACTGGTGTGCATTTAATGGACAGTCCATCATACTTTGGCACCAACAGAGTACCTCCTAGCAAACACTACTCTACAAACCAACATGCTAATGGACTCAATGCCAGTTTCGGCATTGAATGCCTTAGCAGCAACATATGTTCCCAAGTCACTCCACGTAAGTCCACCAACTGTCACAACCAACCTCTGTTCCACCTGCAGTCATGCACCCAAAATATGAAAACACAGACATGTCACAGTTTGATAAATACATGCTCCGCAGAGAGCTTGTTAAGACAGGCCTGATGTTTGATGACAAGCCTGAAAATTACAGAGGCTGGAAATCCACTTTTAAGGCCACATTGAGTGACCTAGACATCAATGCCACAGAGGAATTAGATCTACTTATCAGATGGCTAGGTCCCCAGTCTACTAAACGCATCAAGAAGCTCAAAGCAGTTCATATTGACAACCCTGCTGCAGGCCTTGGTGCTGCTGGGGCAGAAGTGAACAGCCCAGAGGCCATTGAAGATGCTTTATTCAAAAAGGTTGCAAAACTTCCCAAGGATTTCTGCTAGCGACAATCTAAAGTTTCAAGAACTCAGCGCTGTTCTATTAGAGCTTCAACTTGCTAAGGCTGACATCAGCTTACCTGGTCTCAGTTACCTTGACACCTCTCATGGCATCAAATCTATTGTTCTCAAGCTACCATATGGAATTCAAGAAAGATGGGCAAAAAGATTGGATAAAAGTATAAGAAGAACATAGAGTTGCCTTTCCTCCTTTTTCCTACTTCTGCAAATTCATCAAAAGAATTTCAGACACTAAGAATGACCCAAATTTCTCATATGGGGACTGTAACCTCTCAGTACACTCTCTCCAAGACCTACGAACACACGTATGTCGCACAGAGACGTAGAGGTCCAGCGTTAGTGAAAAGGACTAATGTTCTACCGGCACCTGCTACAGTTCTTGAAAAGACTGATCAAAACAAGAGAACTTCGGACCCAAATCGCCAGTGTCCAATACATAACAAACCACATCCACTTAAGAAATGTATCAGCTTCAGAAAGAAAAACCTCCAAGAACGTAAGGAACTTTTGAAGAAATTTGGGGTTTGCTACAAATGCTGTGTCTCCACAGAACACTTTGCAAAGGACTGTAAAGCGATCAAATGTATAGAGTGTGACAGTGTACTGACTAGCACTGATAGGTGGCACTGACTGCCAGCTCATATGGGCACTGACATGTGGCATTGATGTGACACTGATAAGCACTGGCAGGTGGCACTGACAGCTGGCATTGATGGACACTGACAGGTGGCACTGCTGGGGCCACACTGATCATCAGAGTGCCCTGATGATCAGTGTACATATCCCTTTTGAGGAATGCCGATTACCGGCTCTCCTCTCCTCTCTAGCTGTCAGTGTGACAGTTTGTGAGGAGAGAAATGCCAATAACCGACATTTCCCTATTTACATGCTGTCAGGGAATGGGAAGATCGCTGCGGCTATCGAATCCGCACATGCGTAGAATCCTCACAAAACGTACAGGAAGGCGGGCACTAGGACCCAGGGGCGCCTGTCACCAATGACGGCGCTGGGCAAGCACTAGGACCCAGGAGCGCCTGTCAGGAGTCGGGCGGGCTATTTAAACCCAGCTCTTGCAATGCTCAAGTGCCGTATGGTCTTTCCTGTGAGTTTACTTTGCTACTGACCCTGATCTGCTGACTTCTCCTTCTCTGACCCCTGGCTTGCCTGACCATTCTCCTGCCTGCTCCTGCACTTTTGATCTCCTGTTGCCAAACCCGGACCGTGACCCGTTTATTCTTCTGCCTGCCGTTTTGTACCGACCTACTCCGCTGTTACCGACCCGGCCTGTCTGACCTCGCTTACTCTACGTCCTCACATCAGACTCTCACCTGCTGCGTACCACCGACAGGTGCCTCTACCACAGCTGGTTGCACCCAGGGGCCGCAACCTGGTTTCGACTTGCTCCTAGTCCATCCCCACCATCAGGGGCTCTGGTGAACAAGCAGGTCGGAACTTAGATTCCGCACCCTGGGGAATTCTGGTCTGTGGAATGCTAGAGGCTACCACCGGCTGGTCCCTAATAGAACCATACAGCCATGACGGAGTCTGGAGGAGGACCCTCTCCCTGGGAAGAGATGTGCCACCATCTGTCCGCGCTTAACCAAGCTGTCAAGATGCTGGAAGAGGGTTATAAACACTTGGAAGGACGCGTCCAGGATCTAGCCGCTCCTACTGTTACAGCGTCAGACCCGTTCGGGTTCACCTCCTACCACTAGCCCCGCAGGACCCTCTGCTGGAGCAGTATTCTCCATTCCCCCGCCGGAGCCTCGAGTCCCAATGACTGGGCGGATCCATGGAGATCGAGGGAAGTTTCGGGCTTCCTGAATTCCTGCCAGCTCTACTTCGACCTCCAACATTTGCATCCGAATCTGTGAAGCTGGGATTCGTGATAGCTTTGCTGCAGGGTGAACCCCAGGCCTGGGCACATCGTCTATTGGAGGCTCGCCATTCGCATGTGAACTCTGTGGCAGAATTTTT